ATTCAATGGTAGATCACGAAATTTCTTCTCATTAAGCTTCTTCAGAAGCCTCCCTACACTCCGTACTTTGGTTCTAATATTGTCTTTATCCTTTCTCCGTTGCTCTTCCTCTGTTCCCAGTCTGTCCAATAAATTAGATGCAAAAACACAGATTAATTCGTCGTTTTTACATATCTCTTTTAACCCTGGATTCTTAGCCGTTTCTTTAAATTTGGAAAATAAATCAACTAGTTTGCCATCTGTTTCTGGAGAGTGTAAAACACTTTGAAGCATTATTCTACCATTTCTTAAAAAGTTTCTATTACTATTTTCTGGTTTAAAGGGGCAGGATTTAGAATGTATCCATAAAGAATCATCCTTAATGAATGCCAGGCAAAGTGTTATCCTTCATACATTCATCATCTTCAATGTTATCCTTCTTACAAACATCATCTTCGATTTTATCCTTCATACAATCATCTTCTTTAATGTTATCCTTCTTACAAACATCATCTTTAATGTTATCCTTCTTACAATCATCATCTTTAATGTTATCCTTCTTACAATCATCATCATCAATGTTATCCTTCTTACAATCATCATCTTTAATGTTATCCTTCTTACAATCATCATCTTTAATGTTGTCCTTCTTACAATCATCATCTTTAGTGTTATCCTTCTTACAATCATCATCATCAATGTTATCCTTCTTACAATCATCATCTTTAATGTTATCCTTCTTACAATCATCTTCAATGTTATCCTTTATACAATCATCATCTTTAATGTTATCCTTCTTACAATCATCATCTTCGATTTTATCCTTCATACAATCATCATCTTTAATGTTATCCTTCATACAATCATCATCTTCAATGTTATCCTTCTTACAATCATCATCTCCAATGTTATCCTTCTTACAAACATCATCATCAATGTTATCTTTCTTACAATCATCATCTCCAATGTTATCCTTCTTACAAACATCATCATCAATGTTATCCTTCTTACAATCATCATCTTCAATGTTATCCTTCATCCAATCATCATCTTTAATGTTATCCTTCTTACAATCATCATCTTCAATGTTATCCTTTATACAATCATCATCTTCAATGTTATCCTTCATCCAATCATCATCTTTAATGTTATCCTTCTTACAATCATCATCTTCAATGTTATCCTTCTTACAATCATCTTCAATGTTATCCTTTATACAATCATCATCTTCAATGTTATCCTTCTTACAATCATCATCTTTAATGTTATCCTTCATACAATCATCATCTTTAATGTTATCCTTCTTACAATCATCTTCAATGTTATCCTTCATACAATCATCATCTTCAATGTTATCCTTTATACAATCATCATCTTCAATGTTATCCTTCATACAATCATCATCTTCAATATTATCCTTCTTACAAACATCATCTTCAATATTATCCTTCTTACAAACATCATCTTCAATATTATCCTTCTTACAAACATCATCTTCAATGTTATCCTTCTTACAAACATCATCATCAATGTTATCTTTCTTACAATCATCATCTCCAATGTTATCCTTCTTACAAACATCATCATCAATGTTATCCTTCTTACAATCATCATCTCCAATGTTATCCTTCTTACAAACATCATCATCAATGTTATCTTTCTTACAATCATCATCTCCAATGTTATCCTTCTTACAAACATCATCATCAATGTTATCCTTCTTACAATCATCATCTTCAATGTTATCCTTCATCCAATCATCATCTTTAATGTTATCCTTCTTACAATCATCATCTTCAATGTTATCCTTTATACCATCATCATCTTCAATGTTATCCTTC